AGAGCTTTAATGTGGAAGAATTATCTATGAGAAATCCAAGGTAGGAAGTAACGCAGGTGTCATATTGGTGATGCTGAAGTAATAAATTCAAAAGTGAAATGAAGAGCCAAATAAAGTGAAACAACTTTATTTGCTAAAGAAATCAGATCTAGAATACTGGAATGATGTATCTGGCGGGCCCTTAGTCATTACTACATTCAATTCCATCAGTTCACAAATGAAATTTAAATGAAAAATTAAAATTTTTAATTAAAAAAATTTTTTTAAGTTTAAGGGACTTGCCCAAGTATACCACTAAATGAAGAGCATAAGTGGGGCTTCAACACTTACCTTTTTACGCTGAATTCAAAGTTTTTTCTACTTTATCCCTTTATTTCATCCAAATAATCAGACAATTTCCTAGCATGCTAACAGTTATTATATAGTAAGTATTGTAAAGAGAAACATTAAATTCATACATACAGAAGCTCCTGGAGAGACAGAATTCTCTGTGTCATCTTGTACTCCCTTCTTTTTAAAAAGTTTTGAATCCTGGAGAAGTCGAAGTGTAGAAAATACTATTGCAGCACTAAAATAGAAAATATATTTTAAATCTTATTAGTACTGACAATCTCATTAATAAAATGAGTACATATGCATTTCATATGCATCACAATGTGGTTCTCCAGTCTTTCAAAGTTATAGAACTTTGTTACTTAAAGCTATACACTTAGAAACTCTTACACTAAATTATTGCTGAATCAGTGTCTAGAAGTACCAGGAGGCAGATGTACTAAACTAAGAAAACAGAAATTAGGAGATAGGAATTCTCCTGACTTCCTGTTGCTCCATACATAAGTTTGTCTGCACTTTAAACCAATTTATAACTGATATCACACTTCTTCAAAATACCTTAATAACATATATCGAGAGACTTCTTCTTTTGAAAATCTATTCCAAAATGAAATCCAAAATGCAGAACAAGCTGTATACCTGAAGATGCTTTGTAGCATTATTTTATAACATGGAAAGAACTGGGCGAAAGCCAAATGGACAATATACCTATCTACCTAAGTCCCCACTTGAATAGTTAATTATCATATTTAACAGGTGTTACAGGTTGAACTGTGTCCTCTCAAAAAAAAAAAAAAGAAAAGAAAAAAGAAAGGGGGCACCTGGGTGACTCATTTGGTTCAGCATCAGACTCTTGATTTTGACTCAGGTCATGAACCCAGGGACGTAAGACTGAGCCCCATGTTGGGCTCTGCGCTCAGCGGGGGTTCTGCTTGAGATTCCCTCTCTCCCTCTCCCTGTGCCCCTCCCCCAGTTCAGGTGCATTCTCTCTCTCTCTTTCTCTCGAATAAAGAAATAAAATCTTTTTTAAAAAAAAAAAAAAAGGTATGTTGACGTCCTAACCCTCAGTACCTCAGAATGGAGGTAATCTGAAATGATCAAGTTAAAATGAGGTCATTAGGGTGGACACTATTCCAATATGACCGCTGTTCGTATAAAAAGGGGAAATTTGGACAGATAGATATACACAGAGGGAAGGTGACACGAAGACACACAGGGAGAAGACAGCCACGTGACTGGAGTGGTGCCTTTACAAGCCAAGGAATGCCAAGGATTATGGGCAAACACCAGAAGGTACATGAAGCAAGGAAAGCTTCTCCTCTAGAGCCTTCAGATAGAACCTGGCCCTGCTGACACTTTGATCTTGGAGCACTGACTCCAGGACCATGAGACAATAAAATTCTATTGGTGCTTTGTTATGGTGGCCCTAGGAAACTGATAGAATAGGTTAAAAGCAGGTCCCCTGGCTTTTGCCTCCTACACCAAACCTGCCCCTCTTTCCTTATCTTCCATCCCAGAGGCAGAGTCCAGATCACCATTGCTTCCTCACTAACTCATGCTCTATATTCAATCCATCAGCAAGTGCTATCAGCTTCACCTTCAACATATGGGTACCAGCCAGCAGCTCCTCACCTCCTCCAGGGCCTTCATCCAAGCCACCATGATCTCCAGACTGCATGAATGGGAGCTTCCTGACTGGCTGCCTTCTCTGGCTCTTGTCCCTGCAGCCCTGTTCTCCACACAGCGGCCACAGCGACCCCATCAAGAGGCAAATCAGATCCTACCACCTCCCTCCATGTATGTTTCAGAGGCCTCCTGTGTCCCTGGACTGTGGTCGGTACACTTCTTCCTATGGGTCAGTTACTGAGGTTTCTGGCCGAGTATAAGATCAGCTTCATACGTGTCCATGAGTGCTTGTGAGAAGATACAGTGTTTGTAGGTTCCCAGAGTGTGTACATATGCTCAGCTTTTAAATTATATTTTTAAACCCTCTTCTTTTTTGTCTATATGTTGTATTAAAAGCTGAAAACAGGGGCACCTGGGTGGCTCAGTTGTTAAGCGTCTGCCTTCGGCTCAGGTCATGATCCCAGGTTCCTGGGATCGAGCCCCACGTCGGGCTCCCTGCTCTGCGGGGAGCCTGCTTCTCCCTCTCCCACTCCCCCTGCTTGTGTTCCCTCTCTTGCTGTGTCTCTCTCTCTGTCAAATAAATAAATAAAATTTACTTTAAAATAAAATAAAACTAAACAAACAGCAAGAAAACAACAAAAGAAGTAACACAGATTGAGTACGTATATGGGAATGCAATTTCCTCTCCCTGACACGCTTCCCCACTCAAGCATTCACACCAATTTCGAAGGCCCCTTGTTTCCTGCACAGCTTCAGAGGTGAGCACTGGATGGTTCCGAAAGGGCCCGGGAAGAAGGACGGACGTGGTGCCCACCCCATCGTCCTGATTCTGAAGGCCAAATTCTGACTTCAAGAGAAATGAGGTATGAGGTTTGGAATGTTGCTAACCCAAAAACCTAATGAATAAAATATAAACATGCTAGTATGTCCTAATCCTCCTGGTGCCGTGTAGGTGCACAATGGAAAATTTCTAGTTTCTGCTCTCCACCAGAGAGACAGAAAGTGTAGGAGGATTACTCACTATAAACTCTAAAATCCCCAAGGAAGGAGGTTTCATTCTGACACAAAATTAAAAGGCTCAAATGTTATCCCATTTAGACAATAAATCAAATATAAAGGAGAACGGAAAGGAACTTATTTAAAAAAAAAAAAAGATAGGACTCTGAGAGAGACATCCCTAAAAGAAGTAGAAATACAGTTGGAATAACTTTGATCCCATTTATTTCTTATTAACATTCATGACAAAAATGGTCAGTTTGTTCTCATAAAATCCATGCAGCTCACTCTACCTGTCACCCTAGGGAATGTGCCTTTCAGTTTCCTTGACACATAATTTTATTAGAAGTATCATAAAATGTCCAGCAAACCATCATTTGGGAAAGGGACTGTCCAACACTCTCAGCAGCGCCCAAACAGAAGCTTGTGGGGGGTAAAGTTCACATAAGAAAAACTCATTCATCTTGACAGTAGGCTTCCCCAAATGACAACTCCACTGCAAAAAGGCAATAACGTCAAAGTCATTGCAGGTTTTGTCCCAAGGGCCAGGTTCATGTATTTAAAATAGGAGCGATTCTGATACACTTGCACATTATTTGCGTATGTCTATCTGGCTTTCAAATTAAAGTTCTGTAATGACATTCCTTTCTGTGGCCATTTTGTAATTTTATTTTCTTGTTTCCTTCTTCCTTCCTAAAAAAAAAAAAAAAAAAATCACTCATGTCTTCCATGGGTGTAAGACATGTGGAGGGCTGGGGACGGAAGGTAAACAGCAAGAACCATTTTCTGGGGCAGCTATTGCTCTCTAAAATAGTCTGGAGAAGAGTTCTATATTCTTCTATAAGAAATCATATAGTCATGTTTTAGAGAGAGAGGGAGACGATGTATTTATATATATATATATGCAAAGCATATTTTCTATTAATAAATCACCTAGTAAAAGTTCCTTCTCTTCAAACTTCAAAAGGGAAAATGGTACATTATTGTGCTAATAAGTCCATTTACTATCAGTCAACTACCACTGTATTCTTAAAAATAGCTACAAATGTAACAGTACTCTCAAATCAGTGTGTCTCAAGCTTTTTTTGTTTAGCTCAGCACTCTTTATATCCTTAAAAATTATTGAGAATCCCCAGAGTTCCATCAATATTTACCATATTGGAACTTTAACTTCATTACTATTTATTAATTCATTTTAAAATAAAGACAATAAACCCATTACATGTTCACGACAATAATGAATTTTTATGAAAACATCTATATTTCCCAAAACAACAACAAAAATAGTGACAAGAATGCATCATTTTGCGTTTTTGCAAATCTCTCTAATGTCTGGCTAAATAAAAGAAAATCTACCTAATAGGAGACTTTCATATCTGCTTCTATGGTCTGTTGTGACATATTGTTTTGATTGAAGTATATGAAGCCTCACAGAGATAGCTATTAGAAATAGGAAGAGTATTTTCATATCTTTTTAAAATAATTGTGAATATTCTTCTTTGATACTATACCAAAATGTGACAAGTGATAGTTTTTTAAAAGTCTCTTGCAATGTGAAAGCTAATATCACACACTGATGAAATTTCCTCCTCTGTAACATTATAACCTATTGGTCTATCTTGTTACCCAGGATTTTGGAACATTATCCACTGATGATTTGGAAAACATTAATTCCCTGAGTTATGCAAATCCCCTTGATGTTGAAACATTTCTTTATATAAATTTTAAAAATGATGCTTGTAATATTAATTACCACCAATCTCTTCAGAACAGTTATATAAGCATTAGAAAACTGTCAAGCAAATAGAAATTTTCCAAAATTCTCATTTCCCTACAAAAGTTCAGATTTTTTTTTTCTTTTTTTTTGGTAGCTCAGTTTTATTTTCTGCAGTAACAAACATTTCAAGCGCCCATTCCTCTAGCAACAGGGAAAGAAATCAAGTGGACCAAGGGCCCCTACGGGCAAAAAATTAAACCCTGATAACAAAGGGGCAATTAACTCCAAGTACCAACTCCCTGTGCCTTGCCTAGTAGGGGGCACAAGACTAGGCCTCAGCTCCCTTTCCTGGGCCTAGGCTTCCCGGAGGAGGGGACCCAAAGCCCCGAACGTTTCGGATCACCAGGGAAAGCCGGTCGAGGAAGGAGTTGATCGAAATTCGGAAGAAGACTGGGTCTTCAGCAGTCCATCTAACGGCCAGGGCGCTGCCGTTCACTGTAAGCTCCTTCCGAACCACCCCTCGGTGGCGTTGGGCATGTGGGGCCAGGGACCTGCGGGCCATCTCTGCCTCCAGGGGTGACCGGAAAGGCACAGTGAGCATGAACTCCAGCAGTCGGCTTGCCGCTGCCACAGCTACAGGCACCGCATCCCCACCAGGCCCCAGGGCCTGCGGTGCCTGCCCGGCCTGAGGAGGGGCACCGGCCGCCTCGCCCTCTGCTCTCTCGCCACCGCCAGGGCCCCCATTGCCCTCAGGGCTGCCAGAGCGCCCCTGGCAACCAGGAGCTCTGGGGCGAGGCTGGCGGTCCTGGCCGCCGGCTCCACCCGCTCCGCCCGCCGCACCGGCCTCGCGGGCCTAGCCAGGCTCGCCGGCCTCGCCGCCCTCGCTGCCGCTGCGGTCGCCGTCGTCTGGGGCCTGCATGGCCACCGCGCCCGGCTCCCCAGAGCCCACCGCGAAGCCGCCTGCACTCTCCGCTAACCAAAAGTTCAGATTTTATCATTAGCAACAAATACTATTTGTTGTTTTCCTAGAAGTGGCATGTTCATTTTGCTCATTTTCAATAAAATGCCTGTCAAATACCCAAGTCTGAAAAACCAGTCAATTGGTTTTTCAATAAAAACGGTGTTCCATGAGACAAACTGCTTGTTCGGCTCTCATTTCAATCACGTATGTGTTCTTCCCCAAGACAACCACCATACTTTGATATGCAACAAAGATGCTTTAGAGGTATTTCCCATTTAATATTTCCACAGAATATTAAAAATATATTCAAGGATAGGGATTTATAAATGACACAGATTCTACTGGTTCATCAAAGGCATTCTTAAATGAAACTAGGCCTTTTTTTTTTAGGTAGGTTCCATGACCAGTAACGAGATCACGAGTTGGATGCTAACCGACAGTGCCACCCAGGCACCCCTGCTTTTTTTTTTTTTTTTTAATTGCAAGTGTGCGGCAGTAAAGAATGCAACGACCACTAGTACGGTTTGGTGCCACTGCTGTGATTCCCAGTGAGATGCCAGGAGCATCAGTGCAAATAACAACACAATGAAGATGGTGAATGACATCCTAGTTTTGTTATAAAAATAGTTCTGACCATACAGTTCCCCTTGAAAGGGTCTTGGAGACTCCCCTCGAAATCTGCAGACCACATTTTGAGAGTCACTGCTCCAAAATGGGCTAAATGGATTTTCATCACTGTTTAGAAACCACAAAAATCATAAATGTCCAAAAATCTACACTGCTCTAGCATAAAATCAAATTTAGATGTGGTTAATCATGGGATGGTCTTCGGTCAAGGCTCACACTGATGAGACGGTTGTATGTTTCTAATCAAAGCAAAGTGAGATTTCTGCTGAATTGGTTTCCCCTTTGCAAAAGCTATAGCTAGGCTTCTTTTTCTCACAAAGAAAGCAGCTGGGCTTTCTTATCTGCCTGCCCAGATGTGGGGCAGAAGGGGGAGTGGTGGGGCTTGAAAGCTGTCAGCCATTGAACATCAAATTGGAGGCATACTCTTTATTATAACCACACAATTTTAAAACGATAGCTCCTTCTCCTCCCCCATCTCTACTCCCGATATCTCTGTATCATGTATCATTTCTGACCATACTATATAATTTACCTGCTTATTAAGCTCATAGTTTATTGTCAGCCTTTATTACCTCTTATAAACTCCATGAGGGTAGGGTTGTTTTCAATATTGTTAAATATTTTGCCTATATAGTATATATCCAGTATTGGGATATTGATATATCTCAAGAACCTAGAACAGTAACTAGCATATTGTAGGTCCCCAAAATTATTTTTTGAATGAATTAATGAATGGTAAGATAATAAACTTGTGCATTATTCAAAGAATCATTACTGAAATGTCAGACGGCTGCACAATAGAGGTATTTACCACAAAAGATATGAGAAGTTCTTGAAAATATAGGTCTATATATTTTTTTATTATCCCACTTAATTGTTTATATATCTTTCAGCATATGGATACAGGAACTATATTCTATTCATCTCTATATCCTCAGTGTCTAGATCAGAGCCTAACAGTGAAGTAGTTAAAGGATACTGGTTGGGTAAATGAGTGAATCAATGAACAAGTCAAATGAAAGATCTGACACTAACAATTGCATAACATTTAAATAATCATCTACCCAAAACTGTTTCTTAAATGGTTTAGCAAAACATAATTCAGAAAATGTTACTTTTTAATAATAGAGCTTGTTTTTAATATTAACTACACTGCAGTTAAAATTAAAAAATAAAAAATAAATACATAAATAAATAAAATTAAAAAGCAAAGCTCTGTTAATTTGTTCATTCTTTGTATAAAACATCCTAGCTGTATGCTTTAATAAAGCAATCATTTTGTTTAGAACTGTAGTTTTAAGGGTAATAATATATGAAAACTCCCCTGAAAAAGAAAATACAAGTAAGCTCTATTAATACTGGAATTTATAAAACTCACATAAGATTTAGGTATATTTGACAAATTAGGGTGAGGAAGAAATTCTCTTCTGTGCCTGAAGAGACTCACCTGTATGCCGCCCGGTGTCTCTGCAGGGCGATTGCCGCCAGCTGAAGCCTGGCCTCCACCACAATCTCCAACTCACCAGCACAACACTGAGAGAGGTTCTTGTGGCCTGGATGCTCTATCTCTGACACAAGGAAGTTTAGTCTGTCCTCAGCTTCTGTCAGTAAAATCGACTAAAGAAAGAGCACCACATAATCACGTAAGTTCAGAAACAATACAAGTAATATCTCACCCTTATTCATCCAGGTGTTTTTCATGTACTGAGAAAAGTAACAATGAATGGAAGACCAGATAGGAAATTTGAACATAATCATCAGAGAAGAGTGCTCAGAAAACAGGAAAAAGGCAACAGGAAATGGAAAGGAGAGTAATGGCAAGAGTAAGCATGTATCACAGTTACCCTTTATTGTAGGCACAGCCAACGCTCATTACTCACAGTATTTAAACACTTCCATAAGGTGGTTGCAAATACTGAATTAGCAAATACTAAAGCATTGCTCCTAGAGGTAATACAAGGATAGGTTCCTGTTGGCCTCAGGTCACAACATTTTTGCCAACTGATCCACACATAACTTTGTTTAATGTGTGTTTATATTTAAAGACACATTAATATATACCATAAATTCACTAACCTTGAACTAACAGCTCTAAAACTCAAGCCTGACGTTTATCTGACACATTTATTTTCTCCATAAAGCACATCACAGCCTTCTTACATTTAGGAATACTAAATAGTATTTCAGCACTATGCTCAGGGGCCATTTCAAACAGTGAAATCACCAACGAAAAGCACAAAAATGCAAAAAAAAAAAATATGGCAATAAATAGACCATGGAAAGGATACTTGTCTATAGTATGAGGGTAGAAACAAAAAGTCAGAGCACTGCCTTGCCCAACTCAGCTGGTAATGTGTGTGTTGGGCAACTCAAATTTTTCTGTGCTCTGTGATGTTCACAAATGACCACAAATGAGCCACGAGTATCAATTCTGGAGTTATGAGTAAATTTTAGCAGATAGGCAAATTAGCAATTACTGAATCTGGGAATAATGAGAATTGGCTGTATTTCAAGTTAAACTATGGTCATCTACCTGGTAATGTGAAGATAATGAGATTTTACAATTGACAATCAATAGTAAATAGCAGCCTGGCATGGCAGAGGAGAATGGGACCAGCCAATCTTCCAAGAAACAGGTCTCTAAAAACTTGTTTGTACAGTAAATATTATATAAGTACTGGGACAGCTTAGTATAATGGTTAAGAACACCATCTGTATTTTATTAGTTGCGTGGCATTAGTGAATTTTTTTCTAAGCCTCAATTTTCTCATGGTTCAGCACAACATAGTTCAAAAACGATTAACACCTACATCACAGAGTTGTAAGAATTAATCATGCAAAGTGCCTGTCATGTAGTAAGCACTGAATAAATGGTAACTGTTTGTGTTGCTGTTGTCATCACTATTATTATTAGGAAATGAGACACAGGGCATGGAATACTCAAATCTCATCAAATAATGAATCATATTTTCCACAGTGCTTTAATCAGGTTGTAAAGTCAAAGTCTGACAACTTCTGGGCATCTAATTTTCTCATGAGAAGTAGGCTCCATCTCTGGCCTCAATCCATGCTTATGCAAGAAAAGCTACTTGGTCTCCCAAAAGCAAACACAACCCTGAAAGTGAGCCTATTAGTGGACATTTTGGTAACCAATTTAGTATGATTTGAAAAATCTTCCAAACTTACCTTCACTGTGCTAAAAGTGAAGTCATCTTTCATTTTTACAAACTGACCAAGTGAGCTTCCATCATCCTTTAAACATAGCTCTGTAAGACACAAAAATTTGGAAGAACCAAGGATATCTGTGGTTAACTTAAATATTAATTCTAGTTTATAAAACTCAACATTGGTTGGGAAACCATCCATACATTTCATATTTTAAAAAACCCACAATGATAATTAGAAATACTATTTTATCAAATGGTCCCTAAATATCATATATTCAAAGACTGAGGATGATTTTTACAACACATCAGACAATTCTGAAAGGATGCTTGATGATATTCTTTAAATTATTGGCTACCGATACAGAGTAGTGGTTCCTCCCCTGGGATCACAGGACCCCTTCAGGTCCCCAGAGAATTTTGGGTCTTCCAGATATTCATAACATTTCAATAAGATCTCCTTGGAAATGTCAGTTCTACTGATTTGCATAAGCCTCTCATACTAAGAGCAGAGAGTGAGACCATTGGAAATAGTACAATCCATTAGATCCACAAGTATCCCAAAATACCGAACCACAATCTGAAGGTTGTCCATATTCTGAGCCAGGGAAAACTGAGATAATTGAGATCACAGACTCTGCCTGCTTTAGTAAACCTAACTTCTAGACTATAGGAGAGAGAGAAGGAAAAAAAAAAAAAACCATGACTGGGAATTACTGCCAAAAACAACCACCTAAAGAGACCAAACTTGTCAAGGAAGAAAAGGAAGTCTAAAATAACATGGAATTGAATACCCTTGCCTTCCCCTCTTCTTCCAACTCCTACCTACCTGGCTATCTCCTAAAATAGGGGGTTCTGGAGTGAGAGGTCAGCTGAGTATGAAAGAGGGCTTAAGAATCGGGAAAGGCCCAGCAGAAAGATCTGGGGCTGGGTTTTCTCCCCTAAGGGAGAAAGTAAGGAAGAGACAGAGAAAGATAGAAATAAATGCCTGGAGACTGCTATGAAAGAATCCTGGGAGATATATCCGAACATGAGAGATGTTAGGAAGAGCGTGATCCACGTTTTTCTCCTGCTCTCTCTGCCTCTGAGTGACCCTGGTGCTTCTCTGTGTGGCCCTCCCAGGTAGTAACCTGCCCCTCCTCTTGGAGGATTAAATAACAAACTATGTTTTTAGTGGCCATCATCTCCTGATCTGTTGGCCTCATCATACTCGAATAATAATAATAGGAGTTACATTTTAAAACAGAGCCAATATTACTCCAATATCCAAACTGGACAAAGATACCACAAGAAAAACTACAGACCAATATCTATAATGAATAAGTATGTAAAACTCTTCAACAAAATACTAGCAAATGGAATCCAGCAACATATAAAAAGAATTTATACACCATGACTAAATGGGAGTTAGCCCAAGAATGTAATTACTTTACTACACCATATCAACAGAATAAAAAAAAAATAGAATCATCTTAATAGATGCAGGAAAAGCACTTAATAAAATTCAGCACCCTTTTAAAATAAAATCATTCAACAAACCAGGAATAAAAAAGAAATTTCCCTGCCTGATAAAGAATATCTATAAAAAATCCACAGTTAACACCATACTTAATGGTGAAAAACAAACTATTCTTAGGGCAACATCCAAAACAGTTGAAAAATACGTATATACTATGACCTACAAATCCCATACATGGGCATCTTATCCCATAGAAATACATACTGTATGATATGGATATGTAGCACTTCAACACTGTTCCCTAGAAGTTGATGTGAATGCACATCAACAGTAGAATGGTTGAATAAACAGTGAGATATGCAGCATAGAATACTATAGAACCAGAAAAGCAGAACAAACAAAGCAGTTGACTTGTGGTTTTAGCGAAGTTTTTCTGGGTAAGAAACACAAGATGCAGAAAAATGTAAAATATATCATTTTATAAATAAATGACAAATCCTATTTTGTACATATATATATGAAAAAGTATATGAATACTGACATATATGAATGGATACGGATATGCATATACCTAACGTGTGCATCATTAAGTGAGATGAGAGAAAAATATGGAATATATATATACTAGGCTGTTCATATGGATTATTGGAAGTGGAGTGGAAACAGTTGGAGAAAGAGGAGAAAGAAAAACAAGCAAAAAATAAAATAAAATAAAATAAAAGATTACCTTTCAAGTTTGGAAGGTTGGCTCTACCCTTCTCACAAGTAAGTCCATGGTAGATTGTTTTCATTGAGTTTTCTGGGACACAATTTATTGTTGCAGCCATACTTATTAAAAAGTATGCTTTAACAAAAGAAAACTTATTTAAAAGATGTTGCTGGCCAAGTGTAACCAGAATTACAGGCAATCCTTTACTTATTAATTCATCAAGTGCCTTAAAAAAAAATGAAACAAAGAAGAAAACAAGGCAAATCAGTAAAATACTGTTTTCAGGTAATATTAGTTTTCATCCCCTTTTGCATTCATCGTTTGGTGTTAGATGGTGGAATACAGGATAGACACGACGTACCATAAATGACAGGTCTATCGCAGGAGACCTGTAATGTCAGAACTATCCCAGCAGTTCTAAGTGCCTCCGCCATTCCCCACCAGTTTGTGACCTGTGCCTCATGAGCCCAGCCCTGCCACATAAGGAGTGAACCTGGTGCTGAGAGCAAGGGAGGGAACATCTTATCAAAATAAAGAACCCACAAAAGCTCATCAGCCATGCACGCCCGGCTGTTCTGCTTCCACATGAGTAAATTAGAGGTACCAGGACAGGAGCGGGGTAAGAATGGGTAGACAAGCATACTCCCTACCCAGCTTAGATGCCAAGCTCAATCATTAGAACTCTGCCTTGTGTACACCCTATCAACTCCCTGGTCCCTCTCCTGTGCATATACATGTCCTTGGCAAAATGGCCATGGTAAAATCCAAAGCTGGACCTTCTCTAGGTGTGCACACTGCAGCTGAAGAAGACTGAAGAAAAGCATGCAGTCAGGCTAAGCCATCCCACTTTAAGATCCAGACCAAACCTCAGTGCTACTTGGTCATCATTCTACATTTTCCCAGTCCATTCACTCTCCCTCTCTCCTAGACAACCATTTCATGTTCTTTCTGTTTCTAAATCCTGACCTTTCCTCCCCATGCTCCTCCCAGCTAATGACCTTGCTCCTTCTACTTAAGAGAGAAAATTGAAGCAGCCAGAGTAGTGTCCACAGACCCTACAGCTCCATCTCTCCCACCTACCCAAGCATCTGCCCTGCCTCCCTTCCTGCCACTTAGGCCATGGATCCTCTCCCCACTGGTCTATTCATTCTCTCCTACATCATAAATGTCCCCTTGCTGCAGACATTCTCATCAGCACAAACCATGCTGTCTTTTCTTTCATCTTAAAAAAAACAAAAATTGTCTATACTTTGACTTCCTTCTCCAGCTACTACCCAAATTCTCACTCTCCTTTATAGCAATGATTTAAAGAGTTGTCAATATTCCAATTTCTCTCCCTTCATTTGTTTTTAAACCCACTCATTTCCTACACTGAAACCCTTTAAGGTCACCAATGGCCTGTACTTGCCTTAAACCAGTGTTCAATTCTTAGTCCTCATAAGCCATGTTATTTTTAATCTAAGACATCATTATCTTATATGCCAATTAAACCGTCACAGGTCCTCAACTATAAAATGCATTCTAATTTCAGAGCTATTAAATGTGAAAAAAAGATCCTGTTTAAGACTCAGTGAGTTGTGGTGCTTGATTCGTCTGCAAAATATGACACTATTAATCAATTCCTCTTTTGAAAATGTTTCTCTCAGCTTTCAAGTCACCACATTCTCTTGGTTTCTTTCCTATCCCGTCAGTCATTCCTTTCCAGTCCTTGCGGCTTCCTCTTCTTCTCCTATATTTTTAAACACCAGAGTGTCCCAGGGCTTGGTCCTCCTCCCTCTCCTTACTCCCTCCCCCTAGATGATCTCTTTTATTTTTCCCCTTTAGATGATCTTAAACAGGCTCATGGTTTTAATTTCATCTAAATGCTGATGAAATCCTGAGTTTTTCTTTCCAGCTCCAATTTCTCTTCTAAAGTCAAACCAACTTCTGACTCAAATAGTCAGTCCACTTGGATATCTAAGAGATATCTCAAACTCAACATGTCCAAAACTGTATTCCCAGCCTCCTCACAACCACACACACACACACACACACACACTCACTCACACTAAAATATAAGCTCTGTGAGGGCTGGGAATTTGTCTGTATTGTTGATTGACTGATGTGTTTGACTGACAGCACTGAAACAGTACCTAGCACACAGTAGGCTCAATAGATCAGCTAAAGTGATCCCTTTAAACAGGTAGATCAGGCCACCCCTCTGCTCTAAACCTTCCAGTGGCTCCCCATACTGTTCAGAAAAAGAACCCAAGTTACAAAGACCCTACAAGGCTCTTCTCGAACTGGCCCCCTGTTACCTCTCTGACCCTGTCTCCTACAGCTTCCACATCATTCACGGGGCTCTTAGCCACACTAAGATGCCCCTCACCATCTCACCAAGCTAGGCAATCCTGCCTCTAAGGCCTTTGCACTCACTGCACTCTCTTCCTAGATGGTTCCTAAATTTCCAGATTTCCTAAACTTGCACCATTACCTGTTCACAAATGCCACATCAGTGAAGACTAACCTGATTACCTCATTTAAAATTACAACCCCCAACCTAGCCCCAAGCTCCCAATCCCCTTTATGTGCTTCTGGGCTTATTTTCTCCCTTACCATGGTTCACTTTCTAACTTACTATATAATTTACTTAATTATAATGTTTTTTCCCACTAAAATTTAAGCTCTCTGAAGGCTTGGAGTTTGTCTGTTGCTGACTGACTGATGTATTTCTTTGACAGCACCAGAATAGCAATATGCTCTTATTAAATATTTGCTGGATTAACAATATTTGTTAATTAATAATTTCAGATGTTGGGGCTGTCTATTCTAGAAGAAAGGGAAACTATTTGCCTTATGTGAATTAAAAAAGAAAAGTCTCGTTGTTTGGGAGAGTTTGAGGCAACACTGGCAGTGGAGAAGCCTATTGCTGTTGTTGATTCTCTACTCTCTTCT